TTATTAAATGATTAGTACATAACATTTTAGAACAAAATAAGGATGTTTTACATACAATAAATTAAAATGCATGGCTGTTAGCATTACCCGAGAAATACCACGTGGAGGTCGCCATGCTGCATTTCTAATCGGGGAGTTTTGATTTTGGCAGTTCCCCTTGCCTACTGCCAATAGAAGTTTCAATTAAATTTTTTCCAAAATTTTTTTTTCCTGCAAAGCTCTAAGAAATTACCACTAAGCATTTAGAATTTCTTCGAAAACACAATTATAGATTTGGCATCTTGGAGCAATTACTGAAAGGCTGTCAAATGACTTAACTCTTGACAGGCCAGCATAAAGTTGTCCACGACTAAAAGCTTATTTAGTCAATACTAAACTGATTTTCTCAAAAGTCTGACCTTGTGACTTATTTATAATCATGGAGAAGGCCAGCCTAATAGGAAATTGTTTTCTCTTAAAAGAAAACGGCATGTTGTTATCAGAGGGGATTAGAGGTATTCTCGGAATGAAAAATGTACCTGCTTCATCATCATCAATCAGCTTAGCTTCAATTAAATTACGCCGCAAGTTTGTAACAATTAATCTATTGCCATTACAGAGTCCTATAGATGGCATTAAATTTTTCAGTAACATTATTATGGCACCTTTCTTAATCTTTAATTTGTGGGACGCATTCCTGTAGGAGTGATGGTGTTCAAAAATTCCTCAGGGTAGCTTAGTTGATCTTGTGGATCATCACTAATGACAGTGTCCACACTTTCATACATTTTAGTAATTCCTGGCAGTAGTTCCAGCACATCATTATTGAATACTATTGATAAATCGTTGGTGACAGTTAAAATTGCCCTACCTTTGAGTTGGCCCGGAGTTACAGTGTTAAAATCTACATCAGAATATAGTTGCTTAATGGGGTCTTGGTTAGATGGATAACAAATATCAGGCAACTTAATCATTTCACCATCTTTGCAGTTTCCAACATCCAATAACCATTCAGCAAACGCCTTTTCAGTTGAAAGTGCCCGCATATTTTGATTAAGGTATAAGATGTTGAATTTAGTCCAAAGGGGATGTTTTTTAAGACAGCTAGCAATTGTCGGCGAACGGTAACCTTTAGGAATGACAGGCAAAACTTGTCGAAAGTCTCCTCCGATCAACACAACTTTCCCACCAAAAGGATGTGAGCAGCTCATTATGTCCTGCAAAAGTCTATCTTCAGCTAAAAATGCGTGCACATGCGTCATCGGAGCTTCATTCCATATAATTAATTTAGAATTAAATAATGGAATAGCTTCTGGAGATGTAGGTTTTAAATTGCATGTAGAAGTAGCGTTTAAAATAATTGGTATTTTAAATATGGAATGAGCAGTTCTTCCGCCTTTCAAAAGAGTAGTCGCAATTCCAGTTGATGCTACAGGAGTCACTGTATGACCTTTTCCACGGATTAAGTGCAACAAAGTTGAATAGATAAAAGTTTTTCCAGTGCCGGCAGGCCCATCTAAAAAAAAGTTTTTCAACTTCATTCTTATAAATACCACTCAAAACTTTATCAACAGCAGCACGTTGTTGAATATTTAGCTTTCCATAGTTAAGTTGACCTTTTGTCTGCTCTTCTACCACATCATAGGCTGGTAAAAGTTGGCTAATATGAGGCAAGTTAACCTCTGGTAACTTTCTTCAGATTTAACCCATAAACTAACAATAGATCATTTATTTCAGCAAGAGCATACTGATATGCTGTATCCTCTGAGTGCTGGTGCGCAAAATCTTCACAAAGGAGATCTCTATGCTGTGTCCAAAGAGCAGGAATATCTTCTACTTCACCAAATTCGCAAATAACTGCAAAAAACATTCGAAAATGATGTGGCATTCGAATCAGTGAAGCCTCTTGCAAAGTATCATGCCAATGCTCATCTCCTTCAAGAAAGTCAAGCTCCCTATATGCTTGCTGAAAACTGATGCAGACATTTCCATTAACTGCTTTTAAATCTTCAAAACTAATGGCACCAGGTTTCCGCAGCAGCAACATTCGCAAAAAATAACGTTTGCTATCTTGAATGCTGACAACGGGCATCCTGCCTATTATTTGGTCCCCACCCCTTTGACGTCTTTTCCACCGATTATTACTACGATCAAAAACATAATAATGAGGCATATCAGAATAATAATATCTGCAGGCATCAACATCAGTTTGGTTTAATTGAAACCATGCTGTTAAAGTCGTATGTCTGGCGGAGGCTCGAGCAACAGCTTCAACTTCATGGCCACTCTGATAAATTACTTGCTGTTGATTTGGTAAGTGAACAGCTAACCTCATAACAGTGTGGGATTTTTCAGACATATGAAATTCATTTAGCCGCCACATTGCCTCAGGAGCACTGACATAGCGTCCATCTAGAAATGTCAAAATCTCATCGTGATTTACATCATCGTTTAGCTGCAATTTAATAGATGCAGCATCATGGCCTTTGTAAACATACTTGTAAAGATATTTCACACTTTTGACCGAAGCACAAATCTCAACATTGATGTGAGCATTAAATTTCTTTGATAACCAAGGGTTATAAGGCACAACCCAACGATTATCAATATCATATTTACCTACCTTGATAGGTTCTGTAATACTTCTCTGGTAAACTGGATAACCGTTCACATTTTCTTGAGTCGTCTCTTGAAAATCTTTCGGAAAATTTTTAGAACACAAACCCTCCTTCATGCAAGGAGAATTTGGATTAAGTATGCCACAGGGACCATGAATCATACATTTTGTAATAATATCATAAAGTCTAGGGTTAAGAGTTTTATTGGGCAGTTCTGCACTCACAAATTTGTCGATATCATCTTTAGTTCGAATTTTAGCAGCAGAATCCAATGTCAACAGCATATGGGCATGTGGTAACCCACGTTTTTGGAATTCAATAACATAAATAAATGAAATAACCTTACCAAATACATGACGCTTCAAAATATCATCCAAAAGTTCTGTCAATTTCAATTTAAAGACACGAACAATGATATCGGGTCTATTTTCAGGACGCTAGTGTCTTTGTAGAGCCCTCACTATTTCTGGCCATGCTGGATTGCATGTAAAAGTTAGAAAAATATCTGGTCTCCCAAATTTTCAAACAATTGCCATGGCATCTTGATAATTTTGTTGCATGGAGCGAGGAGATCCTTGAAAGGTTGATGGCAAGATGATCAACTTCCCTATTTTTACATTGTTTGAGTGAGCTTCACTTTGAAGAGCGTCCAAAAGACCTTGATATAACTCAACACGTAAATCTTTCTGGTTCAATCTTAAATAGTTCAATCTTGAACCTTCTGTTCTGACATAAACATCAACGATGAACTGCTGAAAGAGCTTTCCACTGCTATGAAGAAGGCTGAACTCACTGCGGATAGCAAGTCTGTAAGCATAATACTGTAATTGGGTTACACGGATACGCTTGGCAGTACGTCGCTCTTGTACATGCTCCATTCCAGCATGCCAACCACAATCTCCTTGTGGAAAGAGAAGTGGATAGACCATTGGATCAATGCATGGATTCATAGGAGAAATAGTTTTGCAAGAGTCTGCAACAGGATAGATGCACAAATCTCGATTAGATGGAGGTTCCCCATTGTCTCCAACGAATATGGCAGCAACTTCTGTCTTTGATGTGGGAGCATTATACCGTCTCAAATCTGAAGAGGGATCTTCCATAAAAACTAATTTTACATCTGTTGCAGGGTTTAATTGAATAAACTGATGCATCTGAAGATATGATGCAGCAAAAGGGTTAATTTGCCTCAATAGACCATCTAATTGTTCCATTACAGAGCGTAAACATCCAGTATTGTTTTCAATGCGTCTGTTGGTAGCTTCAGTTGAATCAAAAATATACAGCTGCCCGTATCCAGCATTATTTTGATCATTGCTATACAAAGGTGACACCATATGATAAATTTGACCATGAATCCGAAAACAATACGGTCCATTTCCAGGAGGTGGCTTTATGTGTGCTCCAAATGATGCAAAAGCAAGAGCAGAATTATATTCCCGGATATGATTTCGATAATTTCGTGCCTCAATCGAATTATCACTTAATAATTTTTGCAGCAACTCGGGAATGTCCATTAGTGTAGGCAAATTAATTTTTCCATCGTGGCAGCATTTCGTATATTTGCCAGAAGAATTTCTTTCTTTGGCCCAGAAGTAAGCATTACAATAACTACATTGTTCCGTCATTGAGCCAATATTATACTCTTCGACATCTACTGTTACATCTTGAACAGTTATTATTGCACTTGATCTCTGCAATCTACGTCTTCCATAACATTCCTCAACACTTTCTTGGGCTCTTCGAACACGTTTTCTTTCATTACGTTTAAAAGCCCTAGCAGCTTCACTAATATTCTGCATTTTAAAGCGTGAAAATTCAATGCATAAATAAACGCGAAATATAAAAAAATTCAATGCATTCAATACAAACACTTAAACGTTTTTTAGACGTTTAGGTAGCTCCCAGTAGAAAAATATCAATTCAACAGCGGCCTTTTAAAGCATTCTCACTTCAATTAATTAATTAATTCCTAATTGAGTTTAAATTAAATATTGTCATGTTTTTAGTGCATGAATCTGAATTGAACAACCTGATAATGCTCACTCTGGTTATTGTTTCCGTTTTTAAAAGCGCTATATGTTGAGCCAGTTTAAATTAAATTCTATCATGTTTTTAGGGCATGAATCTGAATTGAACAACCTGATAATGCTCACTCTGGTTATTGTTTCCGTTTTTAAAAGCGCTATATGTTGAGCCAGTTTAAATTAAATATTATCATGTTTTTAGGGCATGAATCTGAATTGAACAACCTGATAATGCTCACTCTGGTTATTGTTTCCGTTTTTAAAAGCGCTACATGTTGAGCCAGTTTAAATTAAATATTATCATGCTTTTAGGGCATGAATCTGAATTGAACAACTTGATAATGCTCACTCTGGTTATTGTTTCCGTTTCAAATGCGCTATTTGTTGAGCCACCTCAACTAGATTTGCCATGTGACATTTTTAGCAGCAATCATTGGTCTATTTTCTAACGTTGCCATTCGGGTAATTGTAATGAGGCTTTTTTTTGGTGCCGTGTAAGAGAAATATATATATAGATTTAATATTATGGCGGTGATCGTCATTACTAGTATTTTAGTGGTAGTTGAGGTATCATCATTGACTTTGGGGTCGTTATATATACATATTCTATTCATTCTCAAAATTCTATTCATTCATATATTCTCAAAAAATATTCCACTCTGCCAAACAAATTTCATTACATATTAATTATATATTTCATTATATATTTCAATATACATTAATTTTCATGTATATTTCAATATATATTAATTATTCAATATATATTAATTATTATATATATTAGTTATATTCATTATATATTTCTGATTTTACACACCAGATGGCAGTACCATGATATTTTTAAGGTAATTGTGGATAGTTAGTTTCTTATAAACTAGATGTCAGCACTAATAAAATTTATTTGGCGTATTTGGCAAAATAAGCACTTTTATGACCGTTTTCTTAAAAATTAACCGATCGCTAAGGGGTTAACGCAATTGGAATTAGGCTTAATAGAATAGTAGTGGATAGAAATTAAGATACTATGCAAAATTCATCCAGACCCGTATGGTTGCGATCCCTAATGTAGCAGCATTAGAGAAATACCTGGTTAGGGTGTAAAAGTTAATGCAAAATTGTTGTGATCGACGAGTCAATGATCCCTTAGAAATTCTGCCAATACTGGAATTGGATGTTGTCCGTATATCTCGTAAAAATATACCAGTTTTGTTTCACATGGATTGACTATAATGTATGGTGTGACAATACATAGTACACCTGGGAACTAGTCTCTAAAATTATTCCACTCTGCCAAACAAATTTCATTATATATTAACACCAAAAATGGTTGAAACTTTTTTCTAGTGTTATACAGTGAAATACCTGTCTTTCTTCATCCATAGAGCAGTAATCTTTACATACTGCTTTCAAGTCTGACTCTTCTATTTTGGAAAAACCACCGAAAATCTTCACCATTTTCATAACTTTCTTAGAAAAAAAATATTGCTGATCCTTAAATTTTCAGTTAATAGTACAATGAACCAGAGGAAAAAGAAAGATATCAACCTAAATAATCTAAATTTTAGTGATCGAATTTTCACTTTCTAATATTAAAATTGAAATGAATAAGATTAAGATTGGTTCATTGATAACTGATCAATGTTAATTAAGTTACCAAATTAGACACAAAAAACTACTTTCTATTAAGAAACGTTTCACTTTCTTTTTCAATGGATTTTAATATTTGATTCTCAAAAAAAAAAAAAAAAAAAAAAAAAAAAAAAAAAAAAAAAANAAAAAAAAAAAAAAGAAAAAAAAAAAAAGAACAAAGTAAACGCAATCTGGAAAATTTGGTCCCAAGGGTTTGGTCTGGAATGTGCATGAAAGTTACCACTGCCTGTTAGCTTTACTTTTTAAGCGAATCGAAAATTTTTTGCATACAATTATAAAAAACGTTCTCCAAGTAAAAAAACTTTTTAATTCTGCAGGTACAAATAATTTTTATAATTTTTTTTGCTGCTTTAATTTGTTATTTTTCAATAGAAAAGCCAATAAAATTGAACTGTGCAGTTCATAAACTGTAGCCATATTTTAAACTGCGTAGTTTAAAAAAAAATGCTACGTTTTAAAGACCTCAATCAAGTAGGTTTTGTGTTATATTAAAAAATACCTAAGCTACCATTTCAACGAAATTTTGTAATTTATCACTTCATTATGTTAAAATTCAAATACCTTGTAATTCAAAATTTCCGTGACAAATTTTATCTTTGATTGAATAAGATTTATTATCATATGAAAAAAAAATACTTATTTGCTTAAAAGTCTTAGAGATTGCAAAATACGAGAGAATGTTGACCATTTTTTTAGTGAACTATTGCAGCCATATTAGTTAGATTTGCTATTCAAAACATTATAGCGCGTAAAATTTAATAAGAAATAATTTAATTTATTATTTTTTTAATCTGCATATTGTATTATGAACTAAAAGTACATATAAATAAAAAAAGAAGTTAAATAAAAAAAAAAGAATTAATCTGAATAACTTTTGATCTAATGACTGGATCTTCACGCCTTACGACAAAACGTTAATGGTTCGAGGGGATGACTTCAAATATGCTAATTATTTAGTTCAGATGATATTTTAGATATTTTAAGTTATGAAATGTTGTACAAAAATGTTCTTTCTCTGAATAAATTTCATAATAGTTATATAATAATAGTTATGTAATAATAGTTTCATGATAGTTTTAAATAAATTTCATAATAGTTATTAATATAAAAAAAGGGACCAGTATTAAAAATAATATTTATTATGAGATGGAATTCAATTTGAATTTATATATATATATATATNTTATTATATATATATATAATGTATTTTCCTGACTTATTGTCCTACTTGTTGAATTTTGACAATGATATAAATTTTATTTTATAATTTATTTTTTGAATATATGCTATAAAAGTCTTTTTTCAAGTTTACAAAAATGTAAAAGATTTTTAAAGTATTTCGAATTTTTAACTCAAACAGTTTGTATTTTACCAGTGCGAGAAAGGGGAAAAAGCATTAAATTTTTTAGTTTATTTGGAAAAGAATGTACCAAAATTAGTATTTATGTTTTAAAAATTGTCTACATAATGTATAAATGTCTTTTCCAGGAAGATGTGAATTTTGATTAGGAGCTAAATAAAATTGATTCCCCTTCTCATCTGTGAAAGGGAAAAGAAAACAGAGGGTTTAAATTCTTTTCTTATATTGGATAAGATGATTCTAGACGTAGACACTTGCTCCATAAGAGTAATTGTCTTTTTGTTAAAAAGTCATTTTGTTTCCAGTGTAATGTACTGTAAATCAAGCTCTATGTTCTTCTCGTTTCTTCAGTTAGTGCTCTATGAGCTGAAAAAGGTGCTTCCAAAAGCACTATAGAAAACTTAAATATTCTACTATCTAGAGTGAACACATAAAGAATATATGTATAAGAAAAAATTTGCAATAAAATATTTCTTTCCCCAGCAATTTAGTTGTCTTATTCACTAATGCATTCTCACATTTTATGTTAAAAGTCTTAACCATTTGCAATTTTATCATAGCCTTCAGGCACCAATTCGTTTTGCAGTGATGCTGAATACTCCACTTCGAGAGGACATTTGATAAAGTGATAAAGAATTAAAAACTAAGACTCGCATAACTGTGCTGACATGAAAACTACATATTTTCAATAATTATCATTGATGACTTAATGCGATTCTTAGAACTGTGTTACAAATGCACATAACGTTATATAAAAGCAAGTTAATAATGACCAAAAATACTATCATGTTTTTTTAACAATTAAATTGCGTTAAGTTCATTTGTAAATTGCAATTGAGTTTGTAAAAAAGTACTAATAAAGCTTTAATTACTATTTGAATATCTAAATAAAATGAAACATTAAGTAAACAGTTCATAAAAAAATTTGTTTCATTACAAAAAGTTAAAAATCCTTAAAATTTCGTACTTAGGTTTGTCACAAAGCTTTCGATCTCTAAAGAGTATTATCTTGCAATTACATTCAGCATATTGCTAAATACAGATTAATTACTAAGCTTTCACTTTTTTTATCAACTATCACTGTTTAGTTTTAAAATGAAAAAAGAAACTTATTAATTACTGAACAAAGCACTTATGAAATTTAAAAGAAATGAATGATGATAAATTATTTCTATTACACTTGCTAAAATTAATTTTCTTACTTATGATAGGCATTAAAAGATTCCGTGAATAGTTGGAAAAGGATCAATTTAATTCAAATATGATTTAAATGACATTCAAGTAAAAAGAATAAATGATGATAGCATGATTAAAATTTATTCACTTAAATTATGCTAATTATGAATGGGAAATGATTGAAATTCACACAAATTCAAGTTAAAAGTGATGCATATAGTCAATCAAGTGATACATATAATCAATCAAAAACGATTGAAAATCACTCAAGTTTGAGTGAAAACGATCCACTCAAGTGATACTGATAATCACTCAAACACAATTGAATTTCACTCAAGTTCGATTGAAATTTTTTCCACTCAAACTTGAGTGATTTCATTTCACTCAAGATGAGAAGGCTCCTTTTTTCAAGATGAAAAAGTGAAATTTCACTCAAGTTGAGTAATTTTCACTCGTTCATTTCAAGTGAGTACCAATAAATCGAACACTATCATTAGTATCATCGTTCAGGGGTGACATAAGGGCAACTGAGTGCTGTATGTCCAGCTTTCAACTTTTCTATGAATTCAGGCAAATAGTATTTTTGGTAATTTATTGTGGTTTTCAAATTGTATTGTATTGCATTGTAACAGTCGAGTACCCATATCCTTGGGCAGGACGACTAACCAAATTAATAAAATTAATAAGGTAAAATTAAAAGTAACTTAAGTGAAAATAAATTAACATTATCTTCAACTCAAACATCCTTACAACCATCAATTACAAAACGCTTCTCCTACATAATTAAATTTTTTACAAAACTTCTATCAATTTTTTCCCTCTATGTTACTATTATCTTTTTAGCCATACATTACAATACACAATATTACAATACACTTCTCCATAACCATATATTACAATTCACTTCTCTGGCAATTGATGGCCATTACCATGCTCTCTTGTGGCTTGTAGAGAGGGACTATCTACATGCTGCAATATACGCTGACTCGCTCTCCTCATTGCAGGCCCTTTGTGACCCGACTCCTAAACTTGCCATCATCGAAGGCACGAAACCACTGTGGAGACAAAACATTAAGCGCCATTGGGTTAGATCGCATTGCGGAATTAGAGGCAACGAGGTGGCGGATCTGGCAGCCAAACAGGCCATCAGTATCGATCAGGTCAATATTGTGGTCCCAAGTACAACGCCCAGATCAAAACCTTTTCAAAGGCTCATAATACGAAACAGTGGAAATTAGAGTGACAGAGTTCTGATAGAAGCAGGCAGAGGTTTGAATTTTTCAAGGACCCTTCAATAAAATGCCTGTATGCTGACTTTTATCTAAATCAATTTTCAACTGTCCACGGCGTGTTTGGAGTACACCAACACAGGTTATTTAACAAAACTTCTAACTGTAAATATTGCCAAATTGAACAGACAATAGACCACCTCGTAGTTGACTACTTCCACTCCCAGACACTCCGTGGATATCAATTTGAAGGTAAAAACCAACACCAGTGTTATGCTGAGTTGCCCTGCTGGAATAAAACCAAAACAATCATCAAAACCACGCCAGAAGAGGTGCTGGCAAATATAATCACCTAGCATCAGAACCTGCCTGCTACAGACTCTTAATCACTTATCTTGTCCACTTAGGTTTTACCAATTTCTCATTTTATTCGGGTGTCTCACTGTTTTCTTTTTCACGTTTAATCACCTTTTATCCTGCTGATTCTTAATTGTTTACTCAAATTTTGTTTTATGTTGTGATTGTTTTAACTCGACTTTTGAACTTTTTAGGCTGTTTTAGCTTTGAATTTTAAACCAATTTTCTTGTTCTTAGCATCCCTTCTTTGATTTTAATTGTTTTTATTTTGACCTTTTGACTTCTCTTATTTTTAACTAATTCTCTAATTGATTTTAAGTTTCTTAGATTTTGCAAGCCCTTCTGATTTTAATTTTTTCTAATTTTAACAGCCCTTTTGGCTTTTGATTTTTCAATTTACTTGATTTTATTGGTCTCTTAGATTTATCTATCTCAACACCTTTTAACTCATTTTTTTTCATTTTTAAAATCATCTTTTATACTTGGTTGCCTTATACTGGTGCTTCATCCCCTTGCATGATTTTACTTTTTTATGGATTATTTACTTCGGATTTAATTTTGCAGTGGCCACCAATCCACTTTTAGTGGTGAATTATTGTGTAACTCATTTGTTTGTATCATTGCTTATTTGCTGTAACCTGTTTGTATCATTGCCTATTATATTGTGAAGCTTAATCTTTCCT